TCTTTTTTTTCGAATACCGATGACGGCACACGCGCATCACGAGGTTGGCTGGTTATTCATTCACATTGGCGACTGGCTTCTCGACCGCCACGACAAGATGACGCATCCGAAATTAGCGAAGCGATGTCAACGCCACTACTTGGAGCTGCAAGCCTGAACGAGCAACGTGTTTTCTGGTCCATCGTACGTGGTAAGCTTAGCGGAACATTCGATAATTGCCATGACGATCCGTTAGCTGATGCAGCAGCGATAGCGTCGAAACATGCCTGTACATTGGTGCCATCTTTTGAAGAGCATTCGAAAAAATGTGAAGCTGCGATGAGTTTGGCGAAATCTCGCCCTTCGTCTTCAATAACCTCTCGTGTTGCATTTGAGACGTCGCATTTGTGGCCAACAAGCACGACGGAGAAGTTGGAGTCGGTCGCTGCAGTACTTCGGTATGTCTGAATTTGCAACACCCACCGTAGTACGCCAATGAAACTTTGTCGATTCGTAACGTCGTATACAACCAGTGCGGCATCAGCGTGACGGAAGAAGAAGCTCGGCAATCGAGCTGCACCGAATTTCTCTTGACCTGCAGTATCCCACAGCTGCAGCTTCACCGGAGCAGCGGCACCTTCCACGACCGCAATTTTCGACAGATAATCTTTGTGCATGACATTGTTGATAGAATCCGAGTTGGTCATTCGACGCACTAAACTCGACTTTCCAACGCCGCTTTCGCCGAGTACGATCACTGCAATCACAAGGTGTAAGTACAATTTACACGAGTTACAAACATTGCAACTGCCTTACCTTTGCAAATTTTACACATCTTCTTCTTCGGGTTGGAAGGCATGATCGAAAAGCCAGCATGCGAGGATACCATCGTGGCTGTGCCAGGAAAATTGCTTTGTGGAGCAAGCTTGACACCAACAGGAGTATCAATATTCTCGGTAACCGAAGTTACGGCTCAAGACGAGCCACAGCCCGTGCTTCTATCCTTCCTCCATTTATCCCATACTGGAGGCAGCGATCACTGGCGAAGTATCAAGCTCGCGCCAGTCCATCAAAACGCAGAAGTCGAGCAAGTAAAAGCAAAACGTTCCAGCGATAGTCTTCGGCTCAAGACACTTCACCCATTCGGTTTTGTAGGGCACACAGTAGTCGCGCACACCGAGCATTTTCAGAGAACGAAAAGTATCTTTTTCTTTTCGTATCCGCAAAACCCACGTCAACACGACTACATACAGTCGCCGTCGACACCGGCAACACCAATCGTCACGTAAAATATTGTTTTGTCATGCACGTGGGCAACATGCAATCCTTATCAAGCGAGAACTCGTCACCCGTCACATGAGTTGCTAGAAAGCAGACTAAAACCGCCCATCCCCGAAATTAGCGCACTTCAACCGAAAATAAGGATTATCAGCCAATCAACGGCCGTCAGAAAATTATCGGATCCCAAACATGCCACCGAAAGCTCTCCAGGGTCGTGTGTTCGACTTGTGCCGCCACTTCCGGGCGCTCCCTACGGAACTACAAGGCGACGTGAGTCGAATTCGAGCCCATCTGTCGTCGCCCGAGGTGAAGGAGCATCTTTTCACGCGCTCTACCTTCCCTAAAGTGTCCGGAGACGCTCTCCTACGTGTCATCAACGGAGAACTCGAACAGGAATCAAAAAGTCATTCTCCGGCTTACGCTGCCAAAGTGGCGGGTGGTTTGGTGCAAAGCGGCTTTTTGACGCCTAAAAAGAGCTCAAATCTCTTGGAAAACTTTGATTTTGAGACCAAAAACTCGGAATTCTTGGGAGTTGGCAATGAACTTGCAGATGCCAAGGCCACGTCGGTCTGGAGCGCCAAAGAGGGAGCTATACAAGCAGGAACTCTGTATCGCAAGAAGGAGGGATTCTTGGCCAAGTTGTTAGGTAAAAAGGAACCATTCTACGTAGTGACCAACGACCAGAACAAGGCTGTGTACGTCTTTGAGTCGGATGTGGCCTTCGAAGCCCTTAATGAGATTGATATGGCCAGCGATGCCACAGTGGAATTTAGTGATGATATGCAACACGGTATCAAACTGGCAAACCCAGAAATCACCGAGATCTTCTCCGCCGAGAGCAAGGAGAAGCAGGAGGAGTGGCTCAACTCGTTCATTAACGCCGGGGCGCAGTACCGCGAGGTGTTCAAC